CAGAATGCTAAATGGGATCCTCTGACTAATTTAAAAACACACCGCTCGTCTGCAGTCATCTAACAACACGGGAAGGTACGACGTGTCGGAAAAAAATTAATAATGAACCTCTCTCGCTACATGACATGACGCGGCCCCCACCCTCGTCAAATTCCTCCGCGCCGGCTACGACGGCTAATGATGAGTCTCATATCATTCATGGCGCTTTCATGCAAACCGCCCCCCCGCACTCACATCCATACTCGTAGCGCCGCTCGGTGCGCTGCCCTGACGGCGGCTGTGACTCGATTGTAACAGAGATCCGGCGCGCCCCGTCTGAAGCCATTGTGAGGACCCTAATCGACGTTGCACCTTTGCCTGCTGATTTAAATATTAATGCACTGGCCACAAGCCATCAAGCCTCACTCCTGGGCCTCGGCGTTGCTTAGCAACCATAGTATAGCTTCTGTTCGAGAAGCGAGTGACATTTAATTAATCACCTCTTACATTTAACTGAGCTGACTAATTCTGTGCACCCACAGCATGACGTGTTTTTTTAAAGACTTATGTCTTTAAAAAAACAGAGAAAAAAATATGTTGTAATAGATTTTAAGTATTAGCTTCCTGGTGTCACACAGTTTGTCCCGCACCGGAACATTAGTCCCACCAGCTGCTAGCCGCTACATGTGTTTGCGTGAGCGCTCAATTGCATCAGCCAGAGTTTCACACTCCGCTCTAAAAAACAGAGGCTGACCTGCTGCTAAACTCTCAGCAGCCCGATGCTAAGCCCCCGCGTGCTAATGGTGACCCACTGCACACAGACATGTCGGTTCCTCAAGCCCGCTGCTCCACTTTCCTCTGCTGCAAGAACGCGCTGCTGGTTCTTTCTTTGGTTTTAAGCATCCAGCATACGACCCGTGGAGAGCAAAATGGCCCTTGGAGAAAGCGGAGTAGGGTTAGAAGGTCTCCTTATTTGACAGAGGGGGCTGGCGGAGGTTCTAGTTTCAGCTTAAGGGGGTGGATGTAGTTCAAGCCCTGCCTCCTCATAAGCACCAAGGTCAATGCTGAATGGAAGGGAAGGTGGCTTAGAGAGAGAGCGAGAGAGAGAGAAAGAGGCTGTGGATAAACCACACAGCACCAGCCCCAAACGTGTAAACACACAAGTACCCCAGGTACTATACAATCTTCATGTAAACAATTTGCATTGTCAAGATATCGCCCACAGGTGAGCACAATCCCAACAGCGGAAAGCTGTCGGTCCGCCAGTCAGCACTCTCACCCCCCACATAGCGGTTGACCTGGGGGAACACTGTGGTGTGTAAATGCTTTTATATCTTCCATAACCTTTGAAACCGAAAATAGCTTGACATGAAATGACGGGTACGTTAGCGACACCCGTGCCTCGCCGCTTTCTTTTGACACGAGACGAGCTCGGATTTGCTGGAAATCAAAACTTCTAAAGCTAAAGGTTCCTCGGGCTGCTTTGTGTGTGTGTGGGCGCTTAAGGTGTATTTGGGCGGGCAGCAAAGGTCTCTCTGATTTTAAATGTTTAAATAAACATCACTATGACACTTCACAAGCTGATTACTTACATTTGGACATTTCTTTCCTTAACGTTGTGTGTGAATGTGGAAATGACCTAATGTTTGAGTAAAGTGAACAAACTTTATTTTACACTTGGCTGAGATGAGGTTCTGCTCCACTGAGGTAGAAAAGGTAGATTAAATCAGCTTCCTCGTCACTCCAGTCTAACTTTCACCTAAAGTAACCTTCCTCACGTTAACAAATTAAACCAACCACCATGTTATATTTACATCCAGCTTTCTACTTTGTTTTGGAGTCATTTAGACACGACTGCTGTTGTTTACATCATTACTTCCCTCTTCGGATCTCCAACCGGAGGATCGACCCCACCTACTGCTTACCTTCTAAAGCCAACTCCTTATCCTGTAAGTGCAGGATGGTAGTGGATGGAGACAAGTGTGCACTCACTTTTTCTTAAGCAGGCTCTCAAAATTTTCGGTTTAAAATGTGCAATAGATTTGAAAGGAAAGGAAAGTAAGAAGATTTGCAAAATCCACGTCAGCAAAGCTTGTCTTGCCAAAGAACAAGAAGCTGCAAATGCTACCAACGGTGCTTCAAATATTGCACCAGAATATTGTTTTTGAGTCTTTTCTTTCTAAGAAAGTTACGGACTGAAATGGGAAGCGGTGCAACTGCCTCCTGAATTCACTGCATCTGAATCACTTATTATGTCCAACCTGACAGACTGATGGCAGGGTGGCTTTATTCAAGTCTCGGCCTGTTTTCTAAAAACGTCACAGCGGTTGAGAATCCCTGACATTTATCTCCACGGAGTATAGAAAAGAAGGCTGGAAATGATTCTTGTGTGGTTGCCTAGAGACCCTTAGTGCCAGCTCTCCTGTCAGGCACTGTAATACAGTCATATCAGGGCATGCCTTAACAAATGATCAGATCAACTTTTTTACAAGCTTACCAACTACAGTATTTGCACTGGTTGTGAGTTGTACACAATTTCAATCAATTCTTTAAATTCTTTACAGTACATTACACAGCATCATTCTGATCCTACCTTTAATGTGTTCATTAAAATGTGAAGAATCACATCATTGTAAAAATGTCACACTGCATTTTCTTTATTTAATCGGAGGCCTAGATGACATTTTGTGCCTGTAGGACAACTGTGCCTCCCCTCGATGGTCCAGTTCAGTGCTGTAGTGTATAGAAACAGCAGTGTACACTCTGACCCGCATGTCCAAAGACTCTAACAAAGTGGGCTATCCCGATTTACTCAGCCATATGCTAAACATATCCAGGGGGGAGGAAATGTTACCGTAGTTGCACATAAAAATACTCTGTGGCGAGACGCGTTGAGCCAGCGCACTTTAAACTGCGGGGCAGCTGTGTGAGGGCTGTGTGTGGGTGTGCGTGTGGGGGGGCTTAAGGCAACTGCAACAACACAAATCCTAGCAGCCAGCTCACTCAGGACATGAATCACTATGGACATGAGACGACCTTTCCCGCACACATGCTGGTATCAGTGATTGAGAGCTGAGACGGTATCAACAGCCCAGTTAGAGAGGGGGGGGGGGGGCAGACTCTGGTCATTCTGAAATTTAGGCACGGAAATCTGCTCTTTCAAGGCGCGACCTTGACCTCTTTTGACCTTGGAAGGAGGGGGGTGGGACCAACCCCATTGAAGGACAGCCTGCCAGGGTCTCCGCCTCCCTCTTTTTTGTGGACATAGATGGTCAGGAGGGAGGATCGGGGGGGTGAGGCGTGGGTGAAGGGTGTCACATGATTGGATCTCCTTCTGGAGAGTTGCTTAAAAAGCCTCCTCTGCAATCGGGTCAAGGTCATGCTCCCGCCTTAATGCCACAGGAAAGGAAGAGGAGTGTGGGTGAGAGTGCACAAGAAGAGGTGAGACGGAGGGGGGGGGGGTGCACATACTCCTCTACATGTACGGCAGTCCTTGCTAACTTGGAAACACAAGCTATGATTCTATAAGCCGTATTAATCTTCCTGCTTAGTGGACACTTTTATTCAAAGTCACTTACGCGATTATCACTCTTGCACATCTCCCTCCATTGCTGCAGCTGGATATTTACTAGAGGAATCCAGGTTAATTGCTTTTGCTCAAGGGCAGAGGGTGAGCAGGAGTATGAGCCAGCAATCTTCTAGTCACCAGTCCATTTTCCCAAAGTAGTAGGTCACACGGCTGCCCGGAGTCATCCGCTCCTCCCAAATCGCCTCTCTGCCGCGGTTATGAGGAAGCTGCACTCCTGATGGTCCCAAGCTACGGCCTTCATGGCCTGTTTACCCAGCTTCACCACCTCCCTGACCGTTTGACAAAAGGAAACTGCATTTGGGGAAATTCCAGAAACCACTCAGGTAAAGAGTGGTATTGCCGTTGTGCCGAATGTTTGGGGTCCACGCTTGGTGTTGTTCAAAGATTTTCATTGAAGGTGCAATGAGTCTTTTAGGTATTCATTTGCACATCTTCTGTAAGCCAGTACAAGGATGGTCATTCTGCACCTTAGCAGGCTGATCTTTTTGGATAAACGGTGCTCAGAGTAACACAGAATGAGGTATTTCAAGAGGGATTGAGCAACATTTCTCCAATAGAAACCATCGTGCTGCACACTGCTCCGACTCTCCACCCGGCCACCAGCACAGGTCCCTTGTTGCCCAGCAACCACACAGCTCATCACCAGTAGCCAAAAAGTATCTCCACTTATCGTGTAACATCTTCTATCGGATGTGGGTCTGAATGAATGAGGCTCCTTTTGTTTTCCACCCATCTTGCAGCGCCAAAAAAATGGGACAATGTGAAAAAAACAACTACTACTGGCGGTGGAATGGTGCGACATGAGCTAAATTCCAGGTGTAGTGAGAGAGCAGGTCTCAGGTACAAAGTTTAACGAGTAATTCCCACAAACCACAGATTTTGCAAAAAGAATAAATTAATTCTGCATATGCGTCGCCTGCTCCTCCTGCCCTCCCTCCCCCTGTCAACCCGTGCAATACATCCATCATTCATTCATAAATTCTGAAGACTCCTCTTTAGTTAATTGCCTAGGAGAATTTAATTTCAAACGAAAGCTTTTAAAAAGAGAAGGATATAATTAAGTTGCAGGGCTCTCTCTGCCCCCTCCTTGCCCAGGAGGGCCCCGGGTGGGGTGGGAGGGGTGCCAGCGAGCCGAGCGGTGCTGCACCGCTCTGCTCCATGTCAGGGAAGTCATACACCCGTGTTTAAAGCAGAGCGTTACGTAAAGCCTCCCCCTCTGCACAGGCTTACTGCACCAGACACTGCGTCCTTGCCTGGGCTGCTCAAGGTTCCCGAAAGGACAGACTGCTAAGAAGTTGGGAAGGACGGGGCCCTGTGATAGCCTGCAAAGAGGGAGGGAGGGAGCTGCTGCCTGTCACAGCTTTGGACTTTGAATTCAGCGCCAGACAGGCTCATGCATCAATCCCTCAACTTACAAAGACAAGCCACTAACCTTGACGAGGCCAGGGACTCTTCAGGAATGAGTGGCATTTTCACTTAGCCCCCGCTTCTCCCCTGCACTGCCGCCACATAACCTGGTTAAAATAAGAAACAGTTGAGTAACAGCCGGCCTCACTCCCAGGACTTTGTGACCCAGTGTTCCAGGCCTCTAAGGCCATGTCAGGGACACACGCATTGACACACGGACAGCGCGCGTGGGGAGGGTGAGGGTCCCGTTAGGAGCAGCCTGGTTTGAGCAAGGCCCGACGGAAAATCCAGATCAACATCACACTTTGTCACCAACATGCTCCTCAGTGTCATCCCGTGTCCACGGGGGGATGAACATGGCTTTGACCCTCCCACACACTCGGCGAAGCCTGCTGGCATTGGCCTGCTTGTGTCATAAGCAGAGACCTTCCCCCTCCGTCTGACTGCAGCATCCCGACAAGCACGCTCAGCCCAGACGTGGAGGGTACCTTCCTGCTGCACCTCCACGGCCCCGGGGGCAGCGAGAGAGGCAGACAGGGAGGGGCTGAGTTTCACAGCAGCCCAGCAAAGACAGTCTGCTTCTCTCAGGTCACCCGGGAGGCCTGCGCGCTCTCCCTCTCTCTCTCAATCAGCGGAGATCAATCGATGGGGATAATTGAGGGGCCTTGTCATTTCGCCAAGGTTGAGGGGCGGAGAGTTGGAGGTGAGGTGGGAGGAAGGGTTAGGAGAGCGGGGCCATTCAACAGATGAGCTCTGGCTGGTGTCTCTCTCTGACGCTGCAGTTGAGGCGTCCCATCTTTCTTTCCCTCGAGCACTTCGTCATTACAGCGCCCAAGAGCACCGGCAGCGAAGACGCATTTAGCGGTTCCTGCCTCGTCATCAAAATGAGGCTCATTGACTTTGGCTGCCATCCGTTTGTGATAGAAGCACCAACAGGAGCTCCGAATGAAATAGTGCCGCTATGAGAGGCCTTCCTAAAAGAAAGGGAGGCTAACACACACCACTCTCTCTAAGTATTGGAGTGGCAAAACATTCAGAAAAAGAAAACATAAATCATCAGTAAAGAGTTTGACGTTTTAAGTTTCTCCACGCCTGTTAATGGACTTGTCTTCCTGGTGGAACATGAGCACCGTGGAGCTCCAGCGTAGTATATTCATGAGGGCTGCACAACTAATCAAAGGTTGATCACCATGGCGTGTTTTTGGCCTCCCACAAACCTCATCAATGACAATATCAATAAGAAAGCTCCGTCACTAGCAGCAATCTCAATGTTGTCCAGCATTCAGCTGCAAACTTACTCTACAGCAGCAGCCTGTGAGAACCTTTACTGAATTAGTAACTATCGTAGGATACTGAATATTGCTTTCTTTGCCAGTCGGCTGAAAATGAACTAAATTCTGGGTAGGAAGAAGATGTAACGTATCAAAACGTGAAAGTGGAAGCAATATTCTGTTGATTTAAATGTGAATGTGCCATACAAACATGTTATTCCAGAAATCAATGAATACCCGTGCTAAATTAATTGTGATGTCAATAAAGAATAATCAAGCTAATGACTGACTTAATATTCATTTCCTATTCCGTTGCTACATCAGTCCGTTTACACTGTACTCAAGGCTTAGCGTTTTCTCCTCTGCCTCGTCAGGTCCATTCCAAGACATTTCCCATTCAAATGTTATGCAACCTGACCCTGTTGCGTGTCCAACACTGGTGTGTAATACCCTTGTGTGAGATAAGCAGCGAGGAAGAGCTGGAGGCCCAGAGAGGAGTCAATACTGAAAAACGATCCTTTCAAACCCTTTGATCAAGCATCCTTCACTAATCTCATATCGGGTCTTTGTGTCATCAATTAAAGATAAATGTCTTAGTCCGAGTTTGGAATGAACTACTTAACTGCCACGGTTTAAATCTCATCCCAATACCAGCAGCAGCCCTGAGATCTCCTATCAATTGAACAAGTAAAATAAAAGAGAACAATAAATTTGGCTTAATAAACACTCCCCACTTACATTATATCCTGAAACAATTAGAGAAATTAGCTCGTGGTCTTCGGTTTGAATCCTCCTTGGTGCCAAAGTAAGTAGATGTGAAACGCTTCTCCTCCTCAACATCCACTGTCAAAGTGCCCTTGAACAGTGTTCGATGGCCAATAACAAAAGTGCTGGGCAGCTCCCAGGTCTATAATAAATAAAAAACCCGCAGTAAATGCATGACACTTGTTCTGGTAGGCTGCACATTAGGTTTTTTCGGTGTGCGAAATCGAGATGCCACCCAGAGCTTTGTCAGCCATGTGCGTGTCTCGGGCTATTGTGTGCCTGACATGTTTACAGTCGACGGGGCTTTGAGCTGGCAAAGTGGTAGTGTGGCTACAGAGGCTGCTAGTGGAGATAAGTGCCTGTGCAGGTACTCCTGTGTCTGTGGCCTCATCCTGGATAATAAAAAAAAACATTACGTCAAATAGGGAGAGGAAAGTGGCAACACGCACTCACCCACTTCTTTTTAATGCCCTAATGAAACATACCATCGAATATAACACAAAAGATGTGCAGACGCTGCAGCGGCAGCCGATAGATAGGATCTGCCGTCACGAGGGGCGGCGGATGAGAAGAAGCCAAACTTGTGACTGCTCAGCAGCCTCGCCATCATTTGCATTCTTCCATTTGAATGTCCTGTGGTTCTGTTGCAGGCTAGTGCACATCACTCCGCAGCAGCAGCAGCTCCCTGGACCATAGCAGACGGCCCAATCCAATGGAGCGGCGGCCTGCACAGAGGCTCCTCTCGAGTTACTGGTCAGACACGCACACCAGTTCTCGTCAAAAGTGCTACTTCAAGAAGCCGGCCTATACATGTGCAGGTTTGAGTTATCTGTGGCAAAAGAGGACACGCTGAACTACCTTGAACATCTTTCGTAAGTTCAGGTCAAATAATTAAGCGGCTTAAATGCTCAACAAAAGAAGGGCTAAAAGGCCGACCTCCAGACACAGGCAGCATTTAGAAGGCTTTAGAAGAAGTTTGACTTCCCTCCACCGTACTTTTAGATTGTCGGGTCTGAAGTTACAGCAGCTCTGGGAAAGTGTAGCAGCGAACAGAGCGCTTTTTGTTTTTCCTCATCCTCCCATTACGACATCCAAACAGGTTTGCAGCCGGAGAGCTCAGTAAATTGCCCTTTTGGAACATGAACTGAAGTTCTCTGCCCTCTTTCCTGTAACTTGCGGCAAACCTCAGCCCCTGACCTTTTGCCTCAGCGCCGATCCAAAGTAATGAAGCAATAGGACATTTCTGGAAAAATGAACACCTACGCAAAAGGTCATTCAAAAGAATAACCGCTCTCTGGTAGTTACTGCAAAAAAACAAAACATCAACAGTATTTTGAATTCTGACATGATGGTGCAGCGATGTTGACGGGCTGCAACAGACCAACTGCATTTTGCTCTCATATCCTTCCAAAGTTCTGAATGGACCTGCCAGGGGTTACACACCACCAGCACAGTTTCTGGGATTGTGGCAGCAATGCAAAAAAATGAGCATCATTCAGAAGCCATGAATCCAGATCACGGCTGTTTATGGTGCAATAAAAAGACAACATTTTGGACAGACCAACGCATAGCGTATTCATAATAGGAACTACTTTTGCCTACACTGTATTTACTGTACGAGCAGCAGCGTCACCCCCCCTCCCAGTGGGACTGGAACAGAAAATGCCACCGCATAGGGAATATAAATGTACTCGAGGCAAACGTAAGACTCTTTAAGACATGAAAACAATGTACAACAAAAAACCCAAAGTGAACTTTGGGTCTGCGCATCAGGCAACCTAATATATCCACGGCACATATATGTCAAAATGAGATATACATAATATATAACACCTCACATTTCACATGCATGACCCAAGCTCAGCATAGAACTAGACTCACGGCCTTGACGTTCCTTCAATACCCTTTTCGTTATGTTTTTATGTACTTTAGAAGGAGCCTTGGTGGTGCCGGCCCCACTCCGCGCGCTGACCCGGTGTGAGATGAACTGTACTACCGTCAACGTGACATCATGACACGGTTGGGCCCCGCGGGGTGTCGTTGACCATTCACCGGCATTCATCAGGCGGCCATAGTGACACAAGCCTATTAATACACTCGCAGAAGCAGCAGGGCGCTACGGTCGCTCCGTACGCACCGACGTTCATTCCCTCGGCTGTGTATCCACACGGGCGGATACCGGTGCCGTAGGCCCGACACGGACGCTGCCCGGCGGCTACACCGGGAGCGCCGCGCGCGGACAGACCCGGTCTCCGCTCGTGTGTGCGCGCGCGCGCTCCGTCTGCGGCTGTGAGCCGCCGTACGACACGCTAACAGCGGCTCGCGAGCCCCGAAAAAACACGCCAACACAGTCCTGGACATCGCGTGTGTCATTACCCCCCCACCGCACCACCACCACCACCCCCCCATTCCGACGAGCTAATGGTTATCGTCCACATTTCGCAGCGCGTGTATTTGTTAGCACGCCAGGAGCGCCTACCTGCGTTGTCCGCCCCGCACTCAGCCGGAGACGCGCATCGCCCTGGTCGACAGGAGGAGGACAATCCAATGAAAAACGGTCGCGTCCGTCTTCACACTTCAGGCGGCGGAACAAAGATGGCGAGGCAGGCTTTTAAAAAACAAAAATGTTAGTCCAAAAAGATGCCTTTGTGTTTTGTGTGTGTGTGGGTGTGGGTGCGTGTGCGTGTGGGTGGGTGCTGCGACTGCGAGCGAGGCCGATGCGTGTAGCGTGTAACTCTTCTGTGGGAATTGTTTATTCTCGGAGTCCCCTCGCTGAGGACAAGTGAGCGGAGACAGCCACACTCCTCCTCCTCTGCTGCCGCTGACACCACCCTTAAAGGAACAAGCCCACGATCTGCTGCTGCCCCCACGTCCCACTGCACGCAGTCACCATCACACCGCCAGCATCGGAATAATAGCAGCAACACCACTGATCATAATCACAGCAGTAATATAATAACAACATAAAGGATCGCAATAGTAAAAGGATAATATCCCATAACACCGATTATAATGACAAAAATGCTCTAATAGTAACAACATAAACGATAGCAATAGTAAAGGGATAATGACCCATAACACTTATAATATTGACACAAATGCTCTAATAATAACAAGAATAATGATAGCAGTATAACAATAACAACAATACTAATAATAATAACAAGGGATCAGGAACATTTGTTGCAAAAGTATGTTAGACATACAATGAATTTGACATTGCGGGTGGTGCATAGCATTGGAGACAACAAATGCAAGAAATATAACATGTTGAATTTACAATTGAAGTAAAATCTAGAAGAATATAAACATAATTAGAAATATGATAGCGGTGGTTATAATAATAATAATAATATACAATAATAACAGCAATAGTGAATTGCTAATAAGAAATAATAGCAGTAGCAATATTTTATGTCAATGGCAATATCACAATAACACTAATACTTATGATAACTATAATAAAAATAAAAATAACAACAATAATAGCTGGAGCAATAGGGCAAATTACTCTTTATTATTGTTTATGTTCAGTTAGTTGGTATTTGTCCTTGTACTGTAATTTTAACAGAATTATCTGATTTTGATGAAGTAATACTTGTTCCACTAGTGGCAGAAACTATTACCAGGGTCATTACTGTCAGTGTTTGTGAAAAAGTCAACAGTAAAATGATCACCACTAGTAACGGTGGCACTAGCAGCTTTAACAGCATGAGCAGTATTCTATATTTTACCACATTTTTGATGAAACACAACATCGCCAAAATGGGTTTCACAGTAAATATCAGCATGACATGGACTCAGGTCAGCTTTACAAGTTCAGGGGTTTACAGAATAACTGAAAGAGCACTCCACCAGTTACACACATACAGTTCGATATTTGAAACTGTCTCGAAGGAGCAGTTAGTTCTGCTTAAGGGCACATAGAGCTCTGGTTGCAGATTGTAACCAACCAAATACCTTCATTCACTCAGGTAACGTGAGCCACTGTGTATATCGTGGTAACGTCGCTCTGCTCACTCAGACGACATCCAAAGTGCAAGAACCTCAGGAGCAACGGATGTCAGATGAGAGATGGCAGCAACATGTTTTACAGGTTACTGCAGATTCATAAGCATGTAGGAGAATATTAAGGTGTGTAAAAACAGCCAGTGTTTAGTCTCTCGCTCCTGGGCTACTTTAGAAAAATCTCAGTCCAACGTTGTGGACTCCTACGTAGACATGAAATAAAAACACTTTGATTCTTAGCGATTGTACACTATCAAAGTCATAGATGTTAACATTATATTCCACATAATAGCTTCCTCTAACTGCTACGTACCGGTGAGCAATGATGATGATGGTGAGCATTTTGGCAGGGAATGTTAAAAGGAAAGAGGCTATTAAGTTGCATTATGGTAAATTTAGGAAACTTGGCGCATAGTTCAGACTAAAGATTGAAATATGTTTTGATCAGGTGATTTATCATGTCATAAGTCTCATAACTTTGTGGTGGTGTGATACTGAATTACCAAATAGAGTCTGCTGAAATGTGACATTTCAAATGGAGGGCGTTTTTATTTTCAGAAATAAATATTCCAGAAAAAAAAGTATATATTTAATGTATATAATATATTTATTCATGATGGAGAGACTACCTAAACCACAATTGTAGAACGTTAGAACCTTTGTACACAGTCCCTCTTGTTTAGTTTCATAATAAAGCATTCAAATACAAATAAAAAGGCAGCCTGAAACCAAAAGCCTTGATGGGGACCACATAATAATTCATAACCTCCTCAGAACAACAGTAGATTAATAAAACGGCCAAATGAGGAATTAAGTAGGAAGCGGCCCCAACCAACCTTTCAGCCTCTCCTCAGCGACTCATCGGGCCTCTGCCTGGATGAGGTCCAGACTATGACAGATCAAAGAATGTATCTGCTACAGCACCGGTGATTTACAACGTCTCTCCAGCACCACAGTGACCAAAGAAAGTGAAAACAGAGCCATCGCCCTGCAGGTGCCCTTGAACTAGGCACAGAGGCAGTCCCCAGGTGTGAACGTTTGCTGCAAACGTGTGAAGCAGGGTGTCACTTGTGGAAGAGCAGATGAAAAGCTTGAACGTCTGACAACTGTCCTTCTTCTCTGGCATCTTATGCTAATCAGTGCTATCAGGTCCACTGGCCTGCAATCGCTCGGCTCAACATGGCCTTGAACAAAAGGTCTCTAAGGACCCCGGGAACATCAGCGTTCTCATGAATTGAGAACACAACAACATAACCTACTTCTTCCCATCCCTGTATCTGTTTCCTTTTTTCAGGATGGAGGGAGTGGGAGGGGGGAGGGCGGATGCTCTATCACATCACGCTGCGTTATTGGCCGCTTGCACTCAGCCAGTTGGATACCGTGCCTCCTAACCGGCTGCATCCCCAGCGTGGTGCTTAAACAGTAATCCAGTTCATTGCCAGTAGTATAAGCAGAGGCAGCACGTAACATGTCAGTCAGGTAAATTGGATAGTTTCCTTTCACAGGGCCGTTCTTCACAGCAGGTGTTACCTGCAATTTGCATTTTGATTGCGACAGCAGTTGAAAGTCTGATCAAACTACTCGCCAAAGTGCCATTCATGAAAAGTTGATGTTAGCTGCTGTTTATCGCCATGGTCTGATTGCACCACGAGTGCACGCTGTTTTTGTTGATCAGCCTGACCTCAGCCGGGCGGACCGGCTCAGCATTTTGGAGGCCATCTCGCCTCGTAGCCTTTTGAACTGGAGCGACCTTTCATCTTTGAACTCTGACCCCCGAATGCCACATAAATGGAGATACAATATCCTCTCATTCATTCCTTCCCCCAACCAGAACACGTTGAACTTTGCCCGAGGAGCGTTTCACAGAAGTGTGCTTCAGGAAACTGTCCTTTGACCTCAAGTATACAGACAGATTGTGGCTGACAAAAAGTCTGAGGCCGTGTTTGAAAACACTGTGTCGTGATTTGTATTTATGTATGCGGTTCTTAACCCGCTGGTTACGGATGTTAACAGTGGTTTCAGTGTGTGGCTGCTGAGAAAAGGACTGGAGGAAAAAGAGAAAAAAAGGGAAAGTCAACAGGCATTTAACTGCCATTATGAAAACAGGCTTTGTTGTTTAACAATACAGACTTTTTACAATCTTGTTAACAAAATTAACAGTCCTGGAGTAAAATAACTAACAGCAGTACAGTGAAAATGACCATTTATAATCTCAGGTGTTTTTCTTTTTAGGGACAAGTAAAAGGCTTCTGGTCATGTGGAACATTGTTCCTGCATCAAACAACTTAGCACTCTTTGGCTCATTAATTAAAACAAAGTTTTTTTTTGAAGCAACTTCAAAATACTAAAAATGATGACAATGCGAGAGATTAGATATCTCTGTGTGTAACAGCCTGCTGTGATACAGTCAGCTCATCTGAGACCCGGCGTCCATGTCGGCAGAAGGCCACTGGGCAAGATTATCATTTAAATTTTAATTTGATTTGCGCCCTTCTTCCAGGAATAGAGGGATCTGACCTCTGTAAACGTATGCTGTAGTAAGCTGCATGCTTTTAACTGTAAAGTAGAAAGAAAACAGAGGGAAAACACATGAATGCGTCGGCAAAGGTCAGACCCCTCGGTGGCGTCAGACGGAGGAGAGCTTTGAATTAGACGCCTGATAGTCTCAGAGGGAGGGGGCTGGAGCGTCAGCAGACATTAACCCTTCTGACCTTCGACCTATACTCCCCAATTTTAACCGCTGTGACTCCCAAGGTTTGTAGAGGGAAGGAAGGCCCTCTTGGGGAGGAGGCAGGTGCGAGCTGCAGTGGGAGGGACCGCTGGAAGTCACACCACGCTGCGACCTTTGAACTGGAATGAGTATGGGAAGGTTGTGACATTCCCCACGTATACAGCTGTGTGGCGGGGGAGGTGTGTGGGGGCGGGGGGGGGGTTCCACTGCAAGCATGTGACGCTGCATCGAGACAATTTGGATTTTTCGACAGCTTTTGTTTGAATGAAACCCCGCGGGGGCCACGTTGTTTAATTCAACAAAGTAAACAAAGGAACAACCCACATGTACTTTTCCAACCAGTTCTGACAAGGTCAAACTCTGGAACATTGCCACGAATGTGACATCACTCACCACGGACTCGTCGCCGGCCTTTGTGATGAGCGGGTTACTCATTAACGAGCGAACCTGTCCTTATTGGCGCAACAAACTGTGAACGCAGACAGAAAATGCGTGACCTCTGTTCAAAATAAACACAAGGGAGTGATTATGACTGGATTATTGCAGACATGCTAAACAGCCATCTCGGTCATCTCGGTAAATATTCCACTTTTGTCCTTGACGTGTGTCGGGGAGATGAAACCATGTCTGATAGACAAGATAGATAATTCCCGAGCTAAGAGAGGAAAAAGCCACAGCTGCCACAGTCAGGAAAGGTCTGCCAAGCTACTGATTCAGTGTGATGACCCCGTCTCACACCATCACATTTTCCTCTCATCAGACTCATAGTCAGCTTGCACTCTGAGTTATTTAAGTTCAGGAAAAGTGCTGCAGAAAGAGCCCCATTTTGTTTGACTGAGGTCACCATGGGACGCCGAGGGACGCTCAGACAGTTGATGTTAGGCTCACAGTGTAGGTATGTCAGTGTTAGTTAGCGCAGCCCGTCCCGTGTTGAGTTTCTCATGGTGAGCCAGGGATCTGACTGAAAAGGATCCACACCGGCCCTGCGGATGGATATCATGATGGTAGACCTCACAATAGAGATGGTCTCCGCTTTCCCATTCCCATTTGGCACCTACTCCGGGACAATAAACACCTA